ACGGCAAGACAGAGACAGAGACAGAGATAGAGACAGAGTCAGCTAGCCTGTTAGATAGAGATGGCAGAAGGGGGCTGCGTTCCTTTTTCGGCTGTCATCGTTTATCGTTGACGCAAATTAAGAATGTAGATATGTATTTAGAGAGTCGGGGCATAATTATACAAATTGGGAATGCAATTAAATTTAATTGTTCAATGTTGCCGGCACTCGTGAGAAGCTGCCAACTGTTTTTCCCACACCAGCACCACTCGCTGTCTCTTATTCTTCTTAAGTGTGTGTGTGCTGGTGTGTGTGTGCCATGTGTGTGCGGGTGTGCTGCTGCTGCTGCTGTTGGTTGTGTTTCGGTGTTTCTTTTGCGCCCAGTCAATGAAATGTAAAAACGTTTTGAGCACGAACCTTGTCTTTCCACTTTGCCAACCGCCCCCCCCCCCCCGCATGCTCTGTAGAAGTGCGCGCAAGTACCGTAAATAAAACAAGCTGAAATTATAACTGCCGAGCTGCCGAGCTGCCGGAGCCAGAGCTGAAGCAGCAGCTTTTCTGCTTATGAAGATGAACCAACTATCCAAAGCAGCCTAACCCCCTGATCCCCCCCCCTTCCCCCTTCCACTCCTTTCTACTTCCCCCCGCTGGCAAAAAAAAACATGTTTTTCATGAAACATCACCTGACGCTGGACAGGAATGAAAATGCACAAGTAATGAGGCGCAGAATGTGACAAAACGCAACAAAACGCAACAAAACGAAAACGAAATCAAATGAAACGGAAACGGAACAAAACGAAATGAAATGAAATGAAACACAGCAAATGCGGCGCCAAAGAAGCAATTGACAAAAGTATCGCAAGCCGAATACGAAATACTCTGGTAGACATTTTGACATTTGATTGGGGTTCGTTTTCGATTTAATTATGAAATCCGGAAGATATTACCCGGCGTTGGCAGGCTTAACTGAAATTCGTTTGTCTAATAGACATAAAAAGACCTTCAAATCATTTGCTGTGACTCATATTCCTTATATATATGCACCGTGTGATAGTAAGGAAGAGAGAAAGAAAGAGAGAGAGGGGGGGGACAAGTGGGGGAGAGAGCAAGAGAGATATAGACAGGCAGCTCGGCTATATCGAATCGTCTGCTGCTTCCAATCAGATACACATATCTATATATATATATATATATATGTATATGTTTAGGCACCTTATCAGCTCGGGGATGTCTCCAAAAAAAGGAAAGGGTATGAAACCATGAACAATGGAGCGTGAGATGTGGCAGGGCGACGGGTTGTAGCAATTGTTAGACAGATTCCAACAATTCCTTTGCCCAAGCTTCTGCAACAATTTGCGTCCAGCATCCGCTGACCTTCGGTGGATGGGAAGAGTGGGGAGAGGGTGGCGAGGGGGGAAAGTGGGGAGAGGGGGGCGAAGGGGGGGGGGGGGGGTATTGGGTTACGGATACGGAAATGTGTTGCGGGCACCTCTTGAGTTGGGCAACGGGTGAAAAACAAAAAAACAGGAAAATAAGAAGAAAAAAGAAAAAAAACGTGCCCAGTGCCCGATAAAAACAAGCAGGTGGCAATGAATACGAAACAAGGCAGCGCGTGCAGGAGGCGAAATGCCAGCGAAAATCACACTGTGCAACAAAATCAAAGTTTTAATTGTAACTGACTGAAAGACTCGTTGCTTTAATTAAGCTCTAACAGCAGTTGATTGTTTGTGCAACAATTAACTAGTTGCAAATTGGAAATTTGTAAGCAACTTAACATAACTGAAATGTCCCTTAACTTTTGTTGAGAAGTTCCGAAATCGTTGACAAAGTTGAGTTGAGCTTTATATCTCTATGTGGGTGCAGTTCAATAGAGCTTTCAACTTGGAATGAGCTCTCAGTATTGAAAGGGGCAATGTTTCCTAGAGCTTCCAGCTTTTAATGAACTTTTGAGTGTTGAAATGCATAATCACTTCAATCCAATAGTTTTACATATCAAGCTTCAAGCTCTTAGTTATGTGCATGCAATATTAAAGCTTCTCAGTTGTTGTTTGCAGTCGAGCTTTTTGCCCGAAATAAGCTTTAAGTGTTGAAGCGGGCACATTTTTTAGAGCTTTCAGCTTTAAATGAGCTTTAAGTGCGAAATCACTTTAATGAAATAGATTTATATATCAAAACTAAAGCTCTTTTTTTGCTAACCTCTAAAAATTATTATTCATACCTTTTAAGCTGCCCATTTGTTGTTGCCCTAGTTGAGCTTTATGCTTGAAATGAGCTTTCAGTGTTGGAAAGGAAAGGTTTTTTTTTTTTTACAGATTTTACCCTTAAGGAGGTTTAAATGCGTAAGCACTTCAATCATATAGCTTTCGATACCAAGCTTAAAGCTCTTAATTCTGTTTATAGCTCTTAAAATAATTATTCACACATTTTAAGCATGAATCGAGTTTTTGGTGCTTAAGTGGGTATATTTCTTAGAGCTTTCAGCGGTTAATGAGCTTTACGTTCGTAATCACTTTTATCAAATTGTTTACATGTCAAGCCTAAAGCTCTTAGTTCACACATCGAAAACTTCATAGTTGTTGTTTAGATATTAAACTTTATGCCCCAAGTGAGCTTTAAGTGTTGAAACGGGTGTAATTCGTAAAGATTTATGCTACAAATGAGCTTAAAAAGTGTAATCTCTTGATAAGCTTTAAGAACTGTTAGTTTTTTTGCTTTTTGTTATTAACACTTAATAGTAATATCTTTGAAATGTGCATACATTTTGGGCTTTTCAATTACTCCTTGAGACATTTTAAAGGAGCTTTTAGTTTTAAATCGTATACATTATTTAGAGCTTTAAATGTCTTAACACTGCAAACACGTAATTTAACTTATCAATTTTAAAGCTTTCATGAGCCCTAATAACTCTAAGCTGCAAGCTTTTTGTTGATCTATTCAAAATCAAGCACTACAGTGAAGAGCAGGAAGATAGAGCTTGAACTCTTTGGCTCAATTATGCTGGCTAGTGTAAATATTTGTGTAGCGAGTGCAAAAAGTGTCGCCCTCTGCATTTAGTGGCCTATTCAGAACTGACAGTTTGCTCTTATCGTGCTTTGTTTACGCGCCGCTGCACCCGCTGCCAGCCCCTGCCAAGCACCCCCCCCCCCTCCACCCCCTACCCCTGGCTAGCCCTGCTCCAGTTTCGCTTGCTGCTCGTTTACGTAGGCGGGGGCGGGGGAGGGGGCGGGGGAGGTGGGAGTAGTGTGTGGGGAGTGGCAGTACATAATATCTTAATTATTTCTTTACATGTGTTTTAATTTTTAGTAAGCTGCTCGCTTCTCTCTGCTCGCTGCTCGCTTCCCTCTGCTCGCTGCTCGCTGGGGGCCACGCCGGCCTTTTGGCATTTCAGTCACGTGCTGCAACTAATGCGCCACGCCCACGACCGGCCGCCCTCTCTGCTGTCACACCCTGCAGCATTCCATTGGCAGCCGGCAAGAGATGAGTTCTGTGGCAAGCACTGAAGCGCCTCGCCAGAACCTCGTTGCTGCTGCTGTTGCATGCCAACGGCTGTTGAATGCCAGACGCAAAGGTAAATGTTAAAGTAACTAACTAAATGTGCGAGTATATGCAGTGCGCGGGCCGGGCAGCTCGGGCAGCTGAAGCTCAAGCTCAAGCTGAGGCTGGGGCTGAGGCCGTGGGTGGGCCGGTTGGCCAAACACATTTGCAGACACTGTGGGCCGAATGAATACTTTGAGTTGATCTGGCGTTACATTCGAACTGGTTTGTTCACATGAACAGAAGACCTGTCCGCAATCGATAAATATCGATTTTCCATTTATTCTACTTGAGCATTTCTCGCAGATTACTTTGATATTGACAAGATCAGGAACTAATCGTATATCCCGCGAATATTATTGGCTTGCGATTTCTCTTCGCAATTTTCATAACATCGATAAATATCGATTTTGTTAGATTGCTGTTTTTTAGCATAACTCGAAGATTATAAGAGCTAAATGCAAATAACTTAGTTTTGTAGGTTTTCATAGAGCATATTCATACTAGGCATATGTCACATTTTGAATACCTTCCACAGTTCCCAGCTAAATAATACTTCGAATCATTTTCGAAGCTACAGCCTTGATCTTTGGTATGCACACACTTTTGTGTCTCATATACAAACCTTGAAAATTTCAGAGAGAACCGATTATTAACAACGAAATTAACTGAGAATCCATTGGCCATATAAAGTGTGTGGGCTATGTAAGAAGAAGAAGAAAAGCGCGCTGCTTCCAGTGTGTGTGTTTTTGTGTAGAGATTTTGATGTGTAGAGATTCGCAAGAATGTTTGTAGAGGCAGCTGGCGCTGGACTCAAGATATCCTCCTACAACTGAAGGGCGTTCGAACCACGAGAACGTAATGCCCGATTGGCATTTGATTCATTTGATTCATTTGATTCACTTGATTCATTTGATTCACTTGAAGTTCATATTTAATTGAAATACTTTCTGTGCGCGGGAAATACGTTTTCTTGCCACAGTGCAACGACGTGGACGTTGAGGAGGAGTTGGAGCTAAGCACTTGCACACAAGTTTTCTCAATTACTTGGGCTGAGCCTCGTTGTTGGCCACAGTCGGCCACACCTTGTAGATACCTTTTCCCACCCCCCCCCTCCCCCCTTTTCACCCTACACACACTCGCACACCATCTGCGCATGCATGTTGATTAAACAAAAAAGCAGAATATAACTATGAAATTTTAGTTGGAAGCTGCCAGTTGCTGTCTTTGACTGACGCACCCCTCCCTCTATCCCCGCACCACCACCACCCCCCCCCCCCCTCCTCCTCCCGCACACACACACACACGCACACCTGCCCGAATGTGCCTCTCTCTCTCTCTGTGTGTGTGTGTGTATTAATCCAACATAATTAAGAAATTTAATTAAATTGCAGCGCGCACTGAATGTAGATTGTGTGTGAGTATCTACAACTGGCACCCCTCCCTACTCCACCCCTCCCCTCCCTGACGAAAGACAAAGTGTCCGACCAAAAAGAACAAACGACTACAAAATCAGCCTCAAAGTCAGTTGATCAAAAAGTCTTTTGGATAAAACAGTTCCGTAAACATTTCAGCAACAAAAAACAGATTAATGCAAAATTCGTTCCACCAAAATCCAACCAAAAGCAACAAGAAGAAGAACCGACAACATGGAGCAGCTGACGGAGCTGGAACCGGAGCTGGAGCCGCAGCCGAAGAACAGCTACGATGCTGCGAGCAGCTGGCCCTTGGAGCCGGAGCTGGACACGGCTGCGGGCGATCCCATGGTGACCATCTTTCAGCGCGACCATGTCGTCGTCGTCTCCGAGGATGACGAGCAATGCCAATGCGGCTGCCGGCAAGCAGGAGCCGCCCGAGCTCCTCGGCGATGAGTGCATCTGCCAGACGCAGGCGGCTCTCGACGAGCTCGACCGGGTCATTGGCCAGCAGTGCGATGGTGAGCACTTCAAAGCGAACTGGTTCACGAACTGGTTCACGAACTGGTTCGTCTGTCGCACCTGCCAGGAGCACTACAATCACTTTCCACTGGCCAGTCCAGCGAACGCGAACTGA